TACGGCAACGCTGGCTGCGATGAGCGGGTGGAAAGCACCAACATCACCGAACCGATCGTCGACGTCTCCAGCTGCCCCGGCCAGCTGCCGAGGGTATCAACACCGACGCGCCGATCGTCTACGTATCCTGCTGACCTGGCGCGCGTGCCGCCTCGCGGGCATCACAGGCGCATGTCGATCGTCTACGTCTCCTGCTGTCCCAGCCAGCGCCTGGTTGCGCATCGACACGCCGTGCCAATCGTCTTCGACTCCAGCTGCCCCGGACGGTGCTGCTTCAAGGGCATCAACACCGCCGCGCCGATCATCTACGTCTCCATCTGCCACGGCCAGCGCCGCTTCGAGGGCATCACCACTGCCGCGCCGATCGTTTACTACTCCAGCTGCCCTGGCCAGTGCCTTCGTGGGCAACAACATCGCCGAGCCGATCGTCTACGATGCCAGCCGCACTGGCCAGTGCTTCTTCGAGGGCATCAATACCGACGAGCTGGCCGTCTACGATTCCAGCTCCCCCAGCCAGTGTTGCTTTGAGGACACGAGGTTCTGGTACTGTGACGTGGGCTGCCGCGGCCTCGGCCTCGCGCGCAGCGCCGTCACCGACGCCAGCGCGCCTGGGGCGAGACATCAACACCGCCGAGCCGTTCGCCTACGTGTTCAGCTGCCTCGGCAAGTGCTGCTTCGCGGGAATCAGCACCGCCGTGCCGATCGAACGACTCCAGCTGCCCCAGCAAGTGCTGCTCGAGGATAGCCTGATGGTCATCCGGAGGCTCAGGCGCACGATGCCGTAGGACTCGTAGAGTGCGCTCGTCGCGATCAGCTTCCACTGAACGTCAACACAGGCCTCCTCAGGATCTTTTCCAACAGCCTGGCCACCGCGTGCGTCCAGGTTACCCAGCTCATTGGGAAGATGCTGCAGGTGTATGTGTGTGTGAGCATGTGTGTGTGTGCAGGGTTGGTGCTAAACCCAAAAAGAAATAAAACAAATAACAATTTGCGAAAAGCACCATGGAGGTTTGGGGTGAACCGCAGAAACCCCTGTTTCGAGCTACAGTTTGAAATTCATGGGCCGCCCTCGCCCTGCAGACAAGCCGTGGGGCTCAGGCGAGCACCCGTTGCCAGGAGAGCAACTGCATGTTTCCTCTCCTCGCTCTCTTCCTCCCTCCTCCCCTCTCTCCTGTTCCTCCGCCCCTCCTAGTGGTGTCGGGGCGAAGCGCTCGGCAACCGGGGGCGGCTACCGCGCCAGAGCCCTGGCGCCGTCCCGTCCGCGCCGGCCGCGCGTTGCTGCCCGTCTGCCGCACCAGGCCTCTTGTTTTGGTGCGGCCGCCACGTTTTAGTCTCAGTTCGCCATTTTGTCTTCGTTAGTCACCGCCTCCATGGTCGTGCACTGTCGGTCTCACGGCGTTGTGTTCTCACGCTATTCGTTGGCGCGTGCCTTCGCCTTTGAGCTTTCTTTGTTACATCACTTCTTCACCCCAGCTCTTCCGCACATTGTACGCTGCTCCCGGACGTGTGGCTGAGGAAGTGTGGCCGCGGCGAGCTTCGGCTTTCGCCCGCCCTGCCCGCCCTGCCGGTGCAGCCTGCGTTGTGTCTGCTGCTCCCAGCGTGTCCGGCTGTGCTTGTACAGCTCGTGTCTCGTGCCAGTCGCTCTCGCAGGGCGGCCGCATTAGGCATCTCGCTTATCTTCCCTCCCTCCTTCCGTTTTTGGTTTTCTCCTCCTCTTTGCTAGTGTCCTCCCCGTTTTAGTATATGTGTTTTTTTGCTCTGGTTGCATCCCGTCCCCGCGCACGGCTTTAGCTTGAAACGGGGGGCTCTGCGCGACGGGGTCGATGCACGTGTAAAGGCGTGCGCCCGTGGAGCAATTGTATCACATTGCCTGATTCGAGCTCTGCGCGTTTCACTCTGACGCTGGGTGGTTGGATTGTCAGGTGGCTGCGTTCTCTTCTTCTTCGTCTTCTTCTTTATAAAAAAAAACATACATACATATATACATACCTACATAATTACATACTTACATACCCACATACCTACATACATACATACCTTCATAGCCATATACATACATACATACATACATACATACATACATACATACATACATACATACATACATACATACATACATACATACATACATACATACATACATACACACATACATACATACATACATACATACATATATACATACACACATACATACATACATACATGCATGCATGCATGCATGCATGCATACATACATACATACATCGGTGTTCGACGGTCCAGGGGGCCCACCCATGGAGGGCCCCCCGGCGCGGAAAATTGGGAAAGCCTTCTGTCCTGAACCAACAACGCACCCTCATACCCGTTGGAGGGTCGGCGAGGGCTGTGGGTGCGTGTTGTCGGATGGGGGTCCCCGCTCGAACGGGAGCGTTCCCCAGGGTCCGACAACCCGCACCCATACCCATAGTCAGTCCTCCCCCCAACGACCCCCCTATGGGTATGGGTGTGTGTGTGTGTTGTTCGCTCGTCATTTCAATGCTGGAGTTCTGGGAATGCCCCTCCGCCCCTTCTTGCGCCACATGCAGTCGCACTGGGCTGGGCCCTTCACTGGTTCCGTTTCTGGGCGCGGGCCTGCTCCTTTTCGGGTGGGGCGAGTAGCAGGATACAGTCGGAGTGCATTGGCAGGTCGACCCTGCAAAAACAAGAGTACTCTTGTGTCCTGTCCATCCCTTCTCATGTCCTCTGCGTGTTCGGACTAAGGGTGCCCTTGTGTCCTGTCATTTTCGCAGGCGTTGGGGCCATATCGGCGGCGTGCTGGGCGCGCCGCGTCGCGTTCCAGAGCCTCCCAGAACGCTCTCGGAGCGTCCCAGAGCGCTCTGGAACGGCCGCGGCGTCCGATGCATCGTCCGGATCCGCGGGGTCTCAGCGATCCCCGAGTTTTCCCGGTCCGGTTTCATCCTTGTCCTGGCCTTGTCCTGCTAACCCTTGACACGTTTTCGATTTCTGGGGCTTCTGCCCCCGACCCCCCCGGATCTCAACGTTGACTCGGCCGCGGCCGCCGGCGGGCAAAATCGACTCGCGCTGCGCCCCGCGCGAGCACTGAAGTGGAAGGGCGCGGGGAGACGGACCGCGCGCGAGAGTTGTACCACTCCTCCGGGGGGTAGTGCTATGATGTTCCACCCTACTATCGCCTCGAGCACCAGAAAGGATCTCGAGCACCAAGAGGGTACCGAAACTGGGGAGTCTTCACGCGTCGGGCCCTGGGCGGCGATACTCGTTCGGCACCGTTTCGATGCTTCTCTGGGTGCTCGATGTTGTCTGCCGGGACGCGGCCCTCAAGCACGACGGGGGCAGCGGAAGCGGTGGTGCACCCAGTGGCCCTCGGCCCGCCCCGCCACCGTGCCTGGGCTGTGGGCGCCGTGGGCCTCCTCGGGGTGTTCGCTGGGACGTCGCGGGGGGCCTGTTGGGGGGCCGCTGGTCGGGAGGGGGAACAATACACACGGATACCATCGATTGTCGACTCCCAGGAAGGTAGGGGAAAGCATGGGAAGTGGGGGGGAGGACGAGAGCCCAGGAAATCTGGAAGAATATAGGCAATCCTGGGATTTCTGTGTCCTTGGGCCCCTTGAGTTTGTAGGGGAGCAAGCTCAGAGGTCCGCGCGGATTTCCCGGATCGGCGCTTGACCCCTCCCTCTTCTTGGCGCACAGGGCGCGCCAGGGGCGGCGCTGGAGGCGCCGCTGGGGAGCCCCGGCGCCGATCCGAGGGATCCGCGCGGGGAACCCTTCGCCGCGGTTCCGCAACCGTGGTCACCTCTCAGCAACGCCCCTTCCGCGGCTGGGGCGCTGATCAATCTGAAAAGATGGAAGCGACGCATAGCGACGCGAGGGAAGAAAGGAGTCCCAGGGGGAAGAAACGCATCTTCAGAGGAAGCCTCAGATTTGGCCAGGCTTTTATGTTTCATGTCACTGTCAGTTCCCCTGGTTTGGGATGTCGCGGGGGGCATGTCGGGGGCCGCTTGGAGGCAGTGCACACAGTCGGACAGAGGTATGCTTGTTGGATGCTCTTGTGCCTCCTGGGGGAGGGTTCCCTTGGATGTTCTCTGTGTGTTTTGGCCGGTGGAGGATGCTAAGTCCTTAAGACATGTCCTTCTGGTCGCAAATCCGGCTTAGTCTCGCTAATTTTGGCTTAATCCAGTCTAATCCAGCTTAATACCGGTTAATCTGTGGCCCAATCCGGCGTAGGAGCCCCCCTGATGGGGCTTATTCCTCCTCCATCCTTCCATCGAAGACCTTCCGGTAGTTGCTTCCGAAGGGGTGCTCTTCTGGCCTATACAGGTCCGACTTGTGCCCGGCACTTGCCGATAAAATCGACGTTATCTTGGCCCATGTGGAAAGGCCATGGAGGCACAGGATTGGAAGATGACTTGCATGTTCCGTGCCCTGTCGGGGGTCGGTTGCGGATTTCCGTGCCCTGTCACCGGCGACACCCCAACATACTTATATTATGTGTGCGTCGCCCCCCCGGGGCGACGCGCGCACCGAGAAATCTTATAGCATATGCGTCGTGGCGGACGCTTTCTGGCCACGCCGCTCGGGAAACGATATACCACAAGATGGGTATACTACATGTTCGGGTCGGACGCGCGCCTCCAAGGAGGACATATAGTACTACTACCCTCGTCAAATTCAACCTCAAAAATGGCGACCACGCCCCTGCGATGTCGGCGCGCCCTTCAATGTCGATAGGCGTCCCTCCAATGTCGGGGCCAAGGCAAAAGTGGTCTGACCGGGAACGACACGGAAACTCGATGATGACTAACATTGGCGGGGCGGCGCGTACAAGTACCTCGCAGTCACCGCAACTCTGACCAGTACCTCCCCACAAACAGTTCAGCCACGTAAGACATTCTTGAGGTTAATTTTGACGAGGGTTGTAGTATGTATCTGTGCGCCCCATGACAGGCCGCGGAGGGGGAACAGCCGGACCGTCCGCCGGCCGCGGGGGCCGCCCCGGCCCGAGCCCCTGCAGCCGGCTCGGCCTCTCCCCCGGGCGGCCGGCGCGCGGCGAGGATGCCCCCGAAGAAGGGGAAGAAGGCTCGAGCAGGGATCGACTGCAGACTCGGTCTGCCCCAGGATCGGTTCTCTCGCCGACACCATGAAGAGCACGCTCGTAGAGTGTTCGTGCAACGAACCTTCTACGAGCGTTGGATGCATGGGCTCGGCGAGAGAATCGGTTCTGGGGCAGATCGGTGCTGTAGTCGATGCCCCCCTCGGGAAAGGCGGAGGAGGAGCCGCCCCCGCCGCCCGAGCGGCTCCTCTCGAGGAGCTCGAGGGGGCGGCACGGGTACAGTCTTCGAGTAGGAGACCGACTGCAGAATTGATGTACCCCAACACTGGTTTCCTCGTCGAATCTCCCCCCCAAAAAAGACACTGGATTTTCGTGGACACACAAAACAATGTTTAAAAATCGGGGGCAAGTCCATTCTGTAGTCGATTCGCCACCCGAAGTCCTCCGGAACTCCGTGCGTGCTGCTTGGACCGGCACTGGAGGCCCCCATCCCTGGCGCGCGGGGCGCGCCAGCGGCCGCGCTGAGCTGTACCACCGCACGCCTTTCACGACAGCCAGCAGTCACAAAAAAGGGCGCTCTGCTATAATTAGGACCACCAGTGTGAGGTCGGGCATGTCCCCCTACAGGCGGATTTTGCATGAAAAATTAGAAATAGCCAAAAAGTGTTCAAAACATACCCCAGGATACTAACAACAACAAAAAACGTCCCCCGACTATTTTTAAATACTATTTTGGGAACGTTCCTCCTGTAGAGGGACAACACCAGTGGTCGTGACAGGAAGAAAAAAGCGTGTGAGATATATGCTCCATCTCGGCGAGGCGCCGCCATGGGAGGCCCCCATCGCCAGTCTCCGAAGCCCGCGGTCGGAGCGCTTCGCAGACTTTCGACACCAGCGCGTCCCACTTGCTCGCAGAGTGCCTGCTCGCAGATGGCCTGGGTCCGCCAGGGGGATTTTCGGGGGCGGCAAAGAGGGGGGTGATGACTAGGGGAGGTGGATATCATGGCGTGGGCCATGATATTTCGCCAGATCTCATTGCGCCTCTTCTAGTTTAATTACGTCTCCGGCCCCCCCTGGGCCGCGCACGTGCCGCCGGTCATGATTTGCACCCCCCCTCTTGGATGCCCCCCTCTTGGCCGCCCTGGGGGATCTGCGGTACGTTACATCGAGGCAGACGTGTGTTTTCTCGGACGTTTGCGAGCAGGCACTCCGCGAGCAGTGGAAAACGCGCTCGGCGAAGCTTTTGTGCCTGCGCCGCCTCCTCTGTGCCTCGACCCTCCCTGCGGGCCTGAGCCTCGGCTGCCGGGTGTGGTGGGTCGGGCACGCGCAGCGGCTCGCCGAGGGCGCCCTGGTGCGCCCCGGGGCCGGGGGCGTGCTGGCGGCCGTGGCCGACCTGGTGGTGTCCGAGACCGAGGAGCGCCGGCACGCCAGAGTGGCCCTTCGCCAGAGAGCCTTTGTTCCTCCTTCCTCCCTCCTCCCTCCTCCCTCCTCCTCCCTCCCTCTCCTCCCTCCCTCCTCCTCCTCCCTCCTCCCTCCTCGCTCCTCCCTCCTCCCTCCTCCTCCCTCCTCCCTCCTCCTCCTCCTCCTCCTCCCTCCTCCTCCTCCTCTCCTCCTCCTCCTCTCCTCCTCCTCCTCCTCCTCCTCCTCCTCCTCCTCCTCCTCCTCCTCTCTCTCCTCCCTCTCCTCCTCCCCCTCCTCCTCCGCCTCCTCCTCCTCCTCCTCCTTTCCCCCCCCCACCCCCCAGCGGCTGGCGCGCTTGGTTTTGGCCCCTCGCGCCTCCCCTGAAGCCGCGCGCCCAAGATCGCTCTTGCCCGGGAGCCCTCCTTGCGTGCAGCCGAGAGGAGGGCGAGCCGAGCTACTCCCTGGAGGCCGTCCAGGTCGAGTTCGAGGGTCATCCTCGGAGGAGGGCGAGTCTCGGAGGAGTGCAAGATACCGATGCCGCTGCTCGGCCTGGAGGGCTCGTCGCCAGGGCTTGATTCGCTTCGAAAGCCTGGTCAGAGCGCACCTCTGGAGCAGTCCGTGGAGCAGCGGTATCGGCACCTGTTTCGATCCCCCACAGTCGAGGCAACGGCGGTTGGCCTTCGGCGGGCCCCCTCGTCGCCACTGCCTGGACACCAGCTCGGAGGATTGGGTGCGCCTGGACCCCGGTGAGGGCTCCGGCGACGGATCTTGAGCCGCCGCCGTCTCGACTCGCCCTGCTCCGACCTCGAAGAAGGAAGCACGGCATCAGCATAAACTCTCGCAGGGCCGTGCCGACGTCTCGGACCGGCGCTGGACCCCTCCCCTGGCGGCGCCTCCAGCGCCGCCCCTGGCGCGCTCCGCTCGCCGGGGAGGGGGGTCCAGCGCCGATCCGCGCGGGCCTCCGAGAACGTCCGTATGTTTGTGCCGCCGCTTCTTCTTCCGCATCCGGGGCCGCAGACTGTGCCCATCAAGGATATGCGGCGTCACCCCAACACACTACTGTTAAGTGGGGCCTGTTCCTCTACAGGGGGAATATTCAAGAATAGTCACAAAATGGTCTGGGGACGATATTTTGAAAGTATTTTTGTGTATTTTTGGGGTCCGGAAGAGGTGCGCTCCCGACCCGCGGATCAAAAGTGTATTTTTGGGGTGCTTTTAATCCTTCGCCCGAAATCCGCCTGTAGGGGGGGGACATGCCCGACCTAATTCTAGTGCTATGTGTGCGTCGCCCCCCCGGGGGAGGCGCGCGCACCGAGAAATCTTGCAGTATACGCGTCGCGGCGGGCGCTTTCTGGCCACGCCGCTCGGGAAGCGATCTACGACAGGATGCTCATCCTATATGCTCGGGCCGGCCGCGCGCCTCCAAGGAGGGAATGCTGTAAGTGTTACGGTGGGGTGCGTTGGTTGAGGAATGTGCCCAGGAGCCTTCAGGCCCTCAGCATTCCTCATCGGATGAGGGCGGTGGTGGCATCCATGGCCCATCCACGAGTGCAGTCCCCCCGGCTTCCAGACCCTGGATTCCTTATCCAAGGGTCCCTTATCCAATGTCCTCACCGTAGCATGTCCCTGTGCTTCCCACGGGGTGCCGACGGACGCCAGGCCGCCCCCCCCGTCGGTGGTCGTGGCGGGCTCTTTCTGGCCACGCCGCTCGGGAAACGATACGCTGCAAGATGTTTGCTCTATCAGGGAGGACGTACAGTAAGTCTTCTAGTATGTCTCTCTGTGCGCCCCAAGGACGGGGTGCCGATCGACGCCAGGCCGCCCCCCCCGGCGGTGGTTGTGGCAGGCGCTTTCTGGCCACGCCGCTCGGGAAACGATACGCTACGAGATGTTTGTTCTATCCGGGAGGACATACAGTATGTCTTCAAGTATGTCTCTGTGCGCCCCAAAGACGGGGTGCCGATCGACGCCAGGCCGCCCCCCCCCGTCGGTGGTCGTGGCGGGCGCTTTCTGGCCACGCCGCTCGGGAAACGATACGCTGCAAGATGCCTCTTCTGTCAAGGAGGACGTACAGTAAGTACTCTAGTATGGTCCCGATTATGATTAAGAAACCTCCCCCCGAAAAGCTGGCCCAGCGTTTCTTGACCAACTTGCCAGAAAGCTGGCTCAGTTTCTTAAAAGGGATTGGGAGCGCTCCAGTTCCAGTTCGCGCCTGTTCGACTCCAAAAGCTGGCCCAGCGTTTCCTGAATAAACTTCTGAAAAGTTGGCCCAGCTTTCTTGATTGATACTTTTCTGAATCATATCTTTGACTGCACAGTAACTCTTCAAGTCTGTCTCTCTCTCTGTGCCCCCCGAGGACGGGGTGCCGATCGACGCCAGGCCGCCCCCCCCCTCGGCGATCTGGAGCCTGGCGCCGGCCGTGCGGAGGAGGCGGGTGCCAGTGCCCGCCCTCTTCGAGCCCCTCGCCCCGGCCGCGGCGCGCACGCGCGGGCGGAGCTCTCGCCGGGGGGGGGGAGCTCGACTGGACCTCCTCCTCCTCCTCCTCCTCCTCTTCCTCCTCCTCCTCCTCCTCCTCCTCCGTAGCCATTTTGGCTCAAGATGCTTGCACTGCTGGGCTCCGCGCCCTCGTGCCAAAACGGAAGCTGCTGGACCGTAGCAGCGCGAGGACTGTTCAGTCCGACACCTGTTTCTGGCCTCATCCGCGGGAGTTGGGCCCCCGCTTCAGTGTGTGTTTGCCTTCACTGCGGGAGTTGGGCCCCCGCTAGCAGGTCATGTCGTGGCGGTCGCGTGCCCCCTGGCACCAAGGGCGCGGAGGTCGCAAGCGTGGCTACGGCGGCGCATGGGGTCGTGAAGCCCAGCGTCGAGATACCTACTCAGTGTGCGGTGCCTGTGGGCACTGGGAGTTCGACAAGTATGGCAACTGGAGTTGCAGTAAGTGCGGTGGCTGCTATCTTGACGTCGGAGAGCCTGCTGCTAAGGACGCTGGTGGCCGTGATGCTGCTGGCGATCTCGAGTGGCTGGCGGCCAAGTACCCGCACTTGGCAGGGGCGCTCGGGGAGCTTGGCGCGGCGGCCGCGGCAGAGCCGCACGCGCCACCTGCTCCCCCGCCTGAACCTGCCACTGAGAACGAGATGGAGAAGCTCGTGGCTGCGAAGCGTACTGCCCTGGCGAAGGCGGTCGAGGTGCAGTCGCGAGCTGAACGGATTGCTCAGGGCGACGTGGAAGCTCGGCTGGCGGCTGTGGTTCGCCATCGGGAAGCTCTTCATGCTGCTGAGACGCAACATCGTGAGGCGGTGCAGGTGCTGCAAGCCAAACAGGTCCTGCTGCGTGAGGCTACGTTGGCGAAGGATGGCTTCGTGGAGGCTGACTTCCGACGCCTACAGCGTGAGGAGGAGGACCGTGTTCGAGGCGAGGCCGCTCGCGCTCTGTACGAAGCGCAGGCGGCTATGGCGGCTGGCGCGGCGCGTGGCGCTGGTGCTGCTGGCGGCGCTGGGGTTGCTCCTGGCGGTGGCGCTGGCGGCGCGGCGGGCGCTCCTCCTGTCGCAGGCGGCGGCGGTCGAGGAGGCGCTGCGCCTGCTGCCCCCGTGGGTGCCCGTGCCGCTGGCGTGGATGGCGGCGTGGCGGCTGGCGCGGGTGCGCCGCAGGCGGTGCTTCAGCCTCCTAATCTGGCTCAGCTTGATGAAGAGGGTCTGGCGCGCTGGTGTGCGGAGCATCGTCAGCGGCTGGAGTTCTGGCAGGAGCTCCAGCGGATCTACGTCAGCGCGGTCAAGGAGGACGACGCCGATTCCGAGATGGCTTCAGAGTATGGTGATGCTCAGCGTGATGAGTTGGAGTCTCTGCGCAAGCGGGCACGTGAAGGGCCCCTCGAAGCTACACAGCAAGATCGTATGGAGAAGCTCTTGGTCAAGTCCGCCAATTGCAAAGCGGTCAAGCGGCTGCGAACTATCCGCGAGGACACGGCCTCGAGTTTTGGCAGAGTGCTTCAGCAGGCGGTCCCTGCCTGCCGGCGGCGTGGCCCAAGTCCCTGTCCCTGCAGATGGTGTCGACGACGGACTACGTGAGGCGGCGGCGGCTGCTGATGGTGAGGCCCCTGTTGCGCAAGCCCGTTTTTAACAGGCACACTGGTGGTCACGAGGCGGCCACCAGTATCGATTTCCTTTTCTGTAATATCACCTCGTGGAACGAGGTTGCCGTCTCGTCCGCTTCCAGCGTGCGAGCCAGTTGCGACGGTTTCTTTTTTGCCGAGCATCACCTGGATTGTGATCGGGTGAAACTGGCGAAGAGGCGAGCGCACCAGCTGAAATGGCGACCCCATTTCATTCCTGCCACGCCCTCCCCATGGGGTGGAACCCATGGTGGGGTGGGGGCCGTAGTGTCTCGGGGATTGTCGTTTCAACGTTTTTTGCACTTAGACGGTCCAGTGCAGGACCATGGCTCTGGAAGCCATTGGATGTTTCTTGAGTTACGCACCAAAAAAGCGGTGATCGCTGTGGGCGTTGTTTATTTGGTGTCGGGCCTGGGAGTCTGTGGAGAGAATGTGAACAGATTGCGAGGTGTCTCGGAGTTTCTGGGAACGTCGTCGGTTCCGTGGATTTTGATGGGCGATTTCAATGTCTCAGCTGGTGATCTCGATCTTTCGGGCTTCCCACGACTTGCGCGAGGGCGAGTGCTGGTCCCGTCGCTGGTGGAGTTCACCTGCACGCAGGGGCGCGGCTCCCTGATCGATTACGTGGTCGCTTCGGAGGATATTGCCAGCTACGTGCGAGTATCTAAGTATACACCGTCACCATTTAAGACACATGCGTGTTTGAAGGTTTCGTTGGACCATGGGGCGGTTGAACAGACGTTGTGGAAGCGTGTCAAACCTCCTCCTTTTCCTGATTGTGCTGGTCCTGATTTACCCTGGGAAGTTTTGTTGACGCAGGTGTCAGACGATGGTGACTTGGAGGTTCCGTTCTTATTTTGAAGATAACTTCTTACCCCATGTTCATGATCATCTTTCTCCTGCTCTCTCTCGTCAGTACCGTATTTGGAGCCGAGCTACCGAATTGATGTTTCTCTCTCGCGCTTGTGCGATGCAGTTGTTGCCTTGCGAGAGTAGTGCGCGTGGAGGTTACCCGAGTTTTCGACGTGCCAAGATTGGACGTAGAGGTTTCTGTGGTCAGAGTTTCCAATCCCCTACGCTGTGTTTCTGGGCTTATGTTTCTCAGACCTTGTGGGAGTATCGTCTGTGTAAGGCTCGGAAGTCTTGGGATAATATGCATTGGGCTGGTCGTGTGTTGCACGTTTTGTCGGGTCAAGTCCACGCGCATTGCCTCCCTGGGCTTGTGCACCCCGTCGAGTGGTGGATAGCTCAGCTGGCCGCCGTCCCGTCGTCGGTCGATGGACTGAATCTTCTCAGTGATGCGGTCGCTCACGCGGTCGGCCAGGCTTGGAATGATGCTCGCGCTCTGTCTAAGGAGAAGATGAAGCAGTGGCTTCTTAAGGCCTTGCCGCGTGGTGCCAAGAGGGTTCACTCTTGGCTCAAATAGGATCAGGGGGCTGACCTCGAGCATTTGGTTGCTCCCTCGGAGGTGAAGCAATTGCCCGAGGAAATGATGCAGTATCGGCAGGATTTTTGGAGCGCGTTTTGGACTGCTCCTTGGGAGCAGCGTGAGGCCCTCTCGGGAGTTTTGGATGTGGTTCGCCGTATGGCTCTGGCGGCCGTTGTTGATCTCGAGCCGTTGACCCCCTGTGCGGTGTCCAGAGCTGCGCGGATGTTCAAGGCTGACACTGCTGTGGGCATTGACTGTTGGCCTCCGCGGATGTTGGCGTCCCTCCCTGGGGCTGCGGTTGGGGCCTACGCGGATCTCCTCAATCAGTGCGAAGCTTGTATGATGCGGCCCACGCAGGTGATGATGGGTATCATCGCTCTGTTACCTAAGGCGGCTGATGCGGAGCGCCCTGTATGCAAATGCCCGTCGTTGTATAGGGTCTATTGTCGCGCGCGAGGCCGTGACATTGATGAGTGGTCTCGGGGGCGTGAAAACTTTTGGGATACCGCGGTTAGGGGCTCTTCGGCGTTGCAGGCCGCGTTGTTGCGAGAGATCGGCCATGAGACTGCTAGATATCTTGGGGAGCTTTCGGTTGGGCTGTATTGGGACCTCAGTAAGTTTTCTGATGCGGTGGACCCTCTCCGCCTGGCTGGATTCGCCTTGCAGATGTCTTATCCCGTTCATTTGCTGTATTTAGGTATCTTGATGCATGAGGCCCCGCGTATTTTGGAGGTCAACGGCTTCGTGCCCGACGTGATGCCCACTGGTCGTGGGGTGCTTCCTGGGTGTGTGCAATCTATGCCTTGGTTTAAAATCTACTTGTACGATCTGTTGGATTTCGCACACGCCCAGTATTTTCCTGTTGTCACTCTGGCGTACGTCGATGACATTACCCAGACGCAGCAGGGTTCTTGGAGTGATATTGTCTCGCGCATCGTGCCAGCCGCAGTTCATTTGTGTCATCAGCTTGAGCAAGCTGGCACTACAATTTCCAGTAAGAGTACTTTCGTGTGTTCAGATCGAGCTTTGCAAGAACATCTTGAGGGTTGTTTCCGCGCTGCACAGCTTCCTATTCGTGTTGGGGAAGCGGTGCGCGACCTGGGGGTCATGACTACTGCAGGGCGTCGACGTTGTGTGAGTAAGTTGAGACAGCGACGTGCCGTTGCGTATAAGAAAGCTGCGAAAGTGAGGTGTCTGACTCGTTTAGTCGGCAGAGCTAGGAAGCTCTATAAGCCTGCGGTGTTGGCGGTTGGATCCTGGGGCCATGAAGTTTTGGGTCTTTCGCCGTCGCAGGTCCAAAGCATGAGGAGTCAGGCCGCTACGTGTTCTGGTTGGTGGAGTCCTGGGTCCTGTACGACTACCGTTCTGAGTTTGGTTAGCCCTGCTAAGGATGACCCCCAGTTTAGGTTGCGGTACGAACAACTCAATGCCTTTGCGTCAGCGTGGAGTGGGATGGAACATAAACAACGTATGCGTGTGGCCCGTGTGTGGAAGCAGGTGTTGGCTAAATTCGAGTGCACTCAGTACCGTTGGCAAGTCGTGCGAGGTCCGATTGCGGCTACGCTTGCGGTGCTACTTGATTTGCGATGGGATCCTGTTTCTCCAGTCTGCTGGCGTGTTGGTACAGTTACATTGCGGGTGACTGATGCAGATTTCCCTGCCCATCTTTGGGACCTTTTGTTTGATGCATGACAGGCGCTTTCGTGGCAAGCGGCGGCGGGTCATTATATGGGTACAGGGGTGGAAGGAGGAGTTGATTTTACTGTGTTGTATCGTATGTTGCGTCATCAGGAAAGGAATGGTGAGGCGGAGGCTGCAGGAATGGTGCGTAATCTTGTCGCTGGTGGCTACTGGGCGGAGTCCAGACTTTACGATGCGGGATACCGCTCGAGTTCAGGTGGAACCTGTACACGTTGCGGGGCCTCAGCAGAGACCCCTTTCCATCGCTTTTGGGACTGCTCCTGCAATCGGCTTGTGCCTGATGCGGTCTTGGATCGCACCGATTGTTTGCGCGATCGGGTTTTAGCGGAGCCTGAGCTTTCGTGTTTGTGGTTTCGAGGCTTGGTCCCGAAGGCTCTCACGTGTGGCCATTTGCCTCCGCCTGTTTCGCAGGTGTGGGAGTGGGGCCGACTGATCGGAGGAGGTGTGATCGATGGAGGAGTGTGGGGAATGGATGGACCTGGGGGGGAGTTCACTAAGGACTGGCGGCTTCGCCGCTGTGGCTGGGCGTGTGTCCACTTAGGTTCATCTGGCCTCTTCGACTCCCTCCTCATGGGCACCCTCCCTACCAAGAAGCAGTCCTCTCCTCGTGCGGAGTTGTTTGCTCTCATTATGCTGGCACGTCGTACTACGGGGCATTGTCGTGTGTACTGTGATTATTTGCGGGTAGTTCAAGGGTCACGTCGCCCCTTATGTGACAAACGTGGGTCTTCGATGCTGGATCTTTGGGTGCAATTTCATGATGTTATGTTCGCTAGAAGGGGGATCTATCCAAGTGTTGTGGACGAAATCGCATTCGACCCAGGCCCAACGCCAAAACATGTTTATGAGTGATGTAGAAGTGTATTTGAACAAGGCTGCTGATTTCTTTGCCGATGCTGCTGCTGACAGGGCCCAGATCCCCGAGGATTTAGTTGACCGAACCCGTCGGGCCGACAAACTTGCGTTTGATGTTTTGTCGCGGTTGTTGGCGGTCCAGCGTGAGGTGCTTTTCTCGGGAGGTCGTGAGACTTCGGAACGGGCTCCTAGGCGGCAGCGCGGACAGCAGACCAGTTGCGCTGAGAGGTTGTGTCGCTTGCGCGATAGTGGTCACTCTCCTGAGGTGCGTTTGGCGTCTCTCAAGTGTTCTCGATGTGCGCGGGGCTTCCCTTTGAAAGGCAAGCTGGCGGATTTTTGGCCTGATCCCTGCAAGCCTCGCTGTGAACTGCAGCAGCGGATTCAGTGTCTTCCTCCTCGCGTCGCCCAGGCCTCAGGGGTGGAAGGTCCGCCGCCTGATGATCTGGCTGCTGTTCAAGGGTGTGGAACACCCCTGGACCACCCAATGTCGGAGTTTTGTTCGCCCACGCATCGGTTGGCCGTGTTTCGAGGGGTTTTGTTTTGCGAGGTATGTGGTGGTTTTTGCACAGTGAACCCCCCTCGCATTCTGAGCAGGGCTTGTGATCGGCCCTCGTCCACTGGGAAGGAGGTTTTGTCGAGGATCTCCCGCGGGCTTCCCCCGAAGTCGGGCACCCGTTTCCCTGATGTGTGAGTTGGTGTTTAAGCGACCTCCCTAGAGGAGGATGACGCTTCAGATAGAATTAGAATTAGAATTTGTTTTTCTCCTCCTCCTCCTCCTCCTCCTCCTCCTCCTCCTCCTCCTCCTCCTCCTCCTCCTCCTCCTCCTCCTCCTCCTCCTCCTCTCGGGGGAGGAAGCGGCACCCATGCCGCTACCCTCAGTTTCGTTGAAGCCGATCACTATCCCGATCCCCATCGCCATCCCGATCCCCACCGTCCCACCACCCCAGTGGGGGGTATGCCCCTCGAAGCCTGAAGGGAGAACCTCCTGTATCCCCATCTCGGGGGTAACCTGCGCCCAGGCCACGCCAGTGGGGATAGGGATCGGTTAAACGATGCCATTACCCTTCGCCCGTTTTCCCCCTTTCTCGGCCTCCTGGGAGGCCCTCGTCGCCACCGCTGGATTCGCCTCGAAATTCTGGTCAGAGCGCACTCCAGGAGAGGTCCGGGGAGTAGCGGTATCGGTGCCTCTTGGTTTCCCCACAGACGTAAGAGTGACCTTTCGCGCAACGGCCCGCGCGCCTGGGTTCGGCCCCAGGGTCGCTCAAGCCGGGAAGCGGGCCTTGAGGGAAACCGGCCTTGAGGTCTTTCGCCCTTCTGGCGCCCTCTTCGGGGCCCTCTTTCGGGCCCCTGGGGCTGTCAGAAAAGGGCTGGGGATAAAACTCGGCCTGGGGGAAGGCTCCCTGGTCCAGGGCTTTCTTTTCCCCCTCAGGGCCCGTTTCCCCCATGCTGCAAGGAGCGAGTCTCCAGCGGTCGCCCTGGTGGCGAGCATGAAGACGAGCACCGCCACGAGCTTCACGAGCAAGGCGGCGACGACGCGTTCCCTGTCGCCCGCGCAGCAGCTGGTGGAGGCGTCGCGGTCCAGCAGCCCCTTCATCGACGGCCTCTGGATCCTGGACGCGCACCCGTGCAGGACGGACAAGGTGCGGCGGCCTCGCGCAAGGGGGGGGGGGGTCCGGGGGAGGGGGGACGGCTTCTGAGAGAAGCGCCCCTGCTTCTCTCTCGGAAGGGATCGGGCCTTCTCTGCAGATGTGAGGCCGGCGCCTTCCAGGAGGCAGCCTCCTAACCAGCCTTCCCCACTCCCCACCTATACCCCCCCTTCTCGTGCGCGCCGCCACGAGGTGAGGCACCTGCTGTCCCCCGCGCTGGCCGCCTTCCTGGAGGACCCCGCGTTCCAGTACTCCTGCACCAGCCTCGGGGGGCACGCGGCGCCGGGGCGCGTCGACTGGCGGGCGATCTACCCCTGGGTCGTGGACGTGCTCGGGGCGGCCAACTCGCAGGCCTGCCTGGAGCCCGAGCTCGAGATCGGTGACGACTCCTACGCGTCGATCGTGAAGCGGTTCGACAAGACGACGGGCAGCTGGATGTGCAACGCTCCGCTCAGCGAGAACATACTCCCCTTCGCGCAGTTCGTCGTCGCGGTGCTGTACCTGGAGGCGCAGGAGGAGGCCAGGAAGCGGACGGAGAGAGAGCAGCAGATCAGGGAGCTGCTGCAGTCCGAGTGCGCTCAGGAGGGGAACCCGGGGGACCCTGGACTGGCGCTCCTGTGGGACACCGACGACGTGCTGGAGCTGCGGGTGGTCCTGCCGGACGGCCTGGGAGAGGTCAGCACATCTGGCGGGTGCGTCGATTGCGGCGAGGGCACCGATCTGGCAGAGGAGTCGTGCGGCGTGGACCCCCTGCAGCCGGTGAAGAGCATCCTGTGGGCGGACTTCGACCCCCAGGCGACGGGCCCCGACGCGGCGAGGAGCGCGCCTCCCGGGCAGTACCAGGTGCAGGTCGTCCTGGCCGAGCGGCGGTCGGGGAAGCCGTGCCACTGGGCATGCCAGGTATCCGTAGACGGTAAGCTTTCAGTGTTCGGCGGCACTTGGGGCAACACGGACATGCAGGATGTCGCTGCGTTTTCGAAATCGGAGCCAGCTTCTGGCTAGGCCGTGGCGGCATGGCATCGTCGTACAGAGGTCGGAAAGATCGTCTGCCTTCCTATGTGTTTTGCTTCTAATGGTTTCGCTGCCTTGCACCCCGTCCTCTCCTAATCTCAGACAGCTTGCAAAGGACTCACACGCATGGTCAGATTGGCGCCAGAACTCCAGCATTGCCATTGCCTCAAGCCACGCGGGCGACGTAAGAAAACGGGACCAACTGTGAGGACATTGGCGCGCAAGCTGCCCGCGCAGGACGGTGCGTGGGCGCCCTCGTCTCCAATGTAGCGTGCCGCGCTGGTGGCCCGCGTAAGCCGCGGCGTAAGGTCACTGTGCTGTCTCGCGTGAGGCCTGCTTCTTTTCGTCGTCGGAGCGCGATGCGTTCGCTCGCGCGAGCTCGTATCGGGTCGCGCGCGCGCGCGTTGGCTGGCTCGGGACACGAAGCGCTTCTGAACTGTCGCTGCGGGAGGGGGTGGGCCACCGGCGGGGCCCGGCCGGCGGGGCCCCGTGGCGCCCTGTGGGGGCCTCGCCGGGTGGGTCGTGGGGCCTGGCTGGCTGGGGTCGAGGGGCCACTTACAAGGGCGAGAGAGGCCCGGTGCAGCGCTTCAGTCGAAAAAGAAAACGCCATAAGCATAAGCTTTTGGCGCTCCGCGCGCCAGGGAGGAGGGCCCAGTGCAGATCCAAGAAATCCGCGCGAAGCGCCAAAAGTTTATGCTTACTGCGTTTTTTTTTTTGGGGGGGGGGTGTTGTTCCTATTCAAGTTGGCGTGTGCTTCGGAGGCGCTTCGCGTTGGGAGCTCTCAAGAGGGAACCAGGACGACTCAAGAGCGCACGAGACGGCTCCAGGATTAACCAAGAGGGCCCTGCATGCAACCCCTCGTGAGGAGAAATCGCCAGCGAGCGTTATGCCGAGCAGAAGAATGATGTCCCGATGCCAGCTAGCTCTTGATGATGTATTCAAAGTGGCTTACTCTAGTCCTTCTTAAGGTCGATCCTGTAGCTGGGCAGTTGCGCATAGTTCCTTCTCGCTTTTGACGAGCCGGCGCGTTTCCCGCTCCAAATTTGAGCTGGCTGGCTGCCTCACTCGGCCCTCGAACGAGGAAGGGCCTCGGCAGCCAATAGCCAGTCTGGGGAAAAACGCGTCTCGGGCCCCAGAAGCACGCAGCAGCAGTCCACTGGATGGGAGGACGATGCTCGGCTCGCGCTCCTGGCTCCCAGCCTCCTCTGTTTTTTTCGGCCCCTGGGGCCCTCTCTCGACGACAGCTCCTCTTCACGTCCCCAGGCGGACTCTGGGGGGGGGGGGGCTGCACTGATCTCGTCAGGAGGGGAAGGAACACACGCAGACACAATGAACCTGCGATCCCCAGCAAAGATCTAAAACACCGAAAAGATGGGAGACAATAGGGGGAGTCCTAGGCTTTGTGTGTATTCCTTTGCGTGTCCCTGGGCCCCTTCCTCTCGGCCCGCCGCCGCCGCCCCTTGCCTCGAGACGCGTGGCCGCCTCGGGCGCCGGGGGAGGCGCCCGGGAGAACGCCGGCCTCGTGCCGCGGAACCGCAGCTCCCCCCCCTCCCCCCGTGGGCTACCCGGCTACCCCCCGTGGCGTCTGGCTCGTCTGTCTAGGCCTCCCGGACGGGGTCGGAGGAGGACGACGACGAGGAGGAGGAGGAGGAGGAGGAGGAGGAGGCGCGGACGCGCACCCCCAGGTTCTAGGCCTCCTGGATGGGGTCGGAGTAGATGGGGTCGGAGGATCGCGCCGCATCGCCGATGCATTGGCGGTGCCGCTCGATGTGGAGCCCGACTTGCTCTACGTCGACGTCGCCGATGCACCGCCGATGTCGTCGTTGCATCGCCAGTGCATCGCCCGATACATCGCCGATGTATCAGCGATGCGGCGCGATCCTCCGACCCCATCTACTCGGACCCTATCTAGGAGGCCTCTAGTCTGGCCTTGTCTGTTTGCCCTCCCCCTTCACAATTACACTATATTCGGGGAAGCGTAGGACTCGAGAGCGCTGGAGCTCGGGTTTGCCGACGCTGTTTGTGACGAGTGCGTCCCGGATTTTGGCGGTCCAGTTTTCGTTGGATGTTTGCAGCGGGATCCCGCGTCAAATTTCAGATTGAGTCTCGTCATTTTCATGATGGCCCCGTCAGGCCAACCCGAGACCCCCGAACCCGGGTCTTATGTCTCCCCGTTTGGTTTTCAGATGTGTTTTTGACAATCCGATTCTTTTCGGTCCTTCAAAATGTTGCTCACGCTGCAGCGCTGGCCCATTTCAGCGCCTCTGCGGTCCAAATCGTGCTACCGCTGCATCGTTTTGAGGAAGTATCAGGCGGGAGCTCCGTTTTTGCTTTGAGAAGGCGATGTGGAAAGCAGAGCCAGCGGGTGCTCTCTATCAGCCCCAGCTCATGGGGAGCTGTCCGGGGAGCCCACGGAGCTGAACAGGGAGCCGCGACTTCAGACTGGCCCAGACACCTCGAAGACAAGCAATACAAAGGAACCCGGTGCCATGCCATCACATGCAGCGCGGTGTTGTGTTCTGTGCCGCTGTGCGATGCCATGCTTTGCGTTGCAATGTTTTGTGATGCACTGCTTCACTACGCAATGCCACGCCATGCTTTGTGCGAATAAGGGATGTGATGGAGGGGTATGACTTCAGATGTTGCGCGAGCGCACCCAGCTTGCCCTCCCCCTTCCCCGCCTCCCCTCCCTGCCTCTCTCCCTGTCCTCGGCAACGGCAGTGCACGCGTGTCGGTATACATATATATATATATATATATATATATATATATATATATATAGATATACACACACACACACACATAGGTGCTCCGCTCTTTCGCGAGCGTGCTAATGGGCACAGCTCGTTCTGCCTATGCCCAGGCGTCCTCTCGGGTGCACCGCTTTTTTGTGTCCGTCTGCCGTGCCGTCTGCCCCGACGCCCGCGCTGGGCCAGAGGAGGCCACGGGGCCACCGCCGCCCGGAGCCCGTCGTCGGAGGTGGCCCGGCCCTCGGGCGCTGGCGCGCCCGAGAGTCGCCGTGTGCTGGGTGACGCTCGGGCGCGCCGCCGCCCGAGGGGTCCGCCCCCCGACGGTGGTAGGCAGATGTTCCACCACCACCACTACCAGATGTAGGACGGGGGAGAAGGGAGGATGAGGAGCTCCTCCTCCTCCTCCTCCTCCTCCTCCTCCTCCTCCTCCTCCTCCTCCTCCTCCTCTCCTCTACTTATGGTAGTGGTGGTGGAAAATGGACCCATCAGACGGATTCTCGGTGGCGGTAGTCCTTGTTTCTCCTCTGCGTTGGGTTCCGCTCCGGGCGTTTCCCCCCGTGCGAGGAGCTCCGCGTGCGCGTCTTTTCCCTGCGCAGCCTGCCCGCCTGTCTTCGCCAACTGCCGCGCGGAGCCGCCACAGAAAAGGCACGCCGCACGAGGCGAAGCTCATCCGAGGAGGAGGAGGAGGAGGAGGAGGAGGAGGAGGAGGAGGAGGGGGGGGGAGGAGGAGGAAGAGGAGGAGGATGAGGAGGTCTCGATACAGTCAAGACGCTGAGGTGGACCCACTTCGGGCTCAGGAGGGACTGTGGTTCTCGGGCCGCTTCTCGGGTCTGGGTTGGGAAGCCGATTCGGAAGCCGCCTCGGCTCGCCGTGGCCAGGAAAGCGCCTTCGTTCCTTGCTCGGCGTTCCTTGTGGTAGCGCGGTTCCCTCCTCCTCCTCCTCCTCCTCCTCCTCCTCCTCGTGGCTGTGCTGATGCTGAACGCTCAGTGGTGCAAGGCAGCACGCTTAGAATTATCCCAGTGCGACCCTACCTAGGAGTTGGAGCCCCTAGGAAAGCAGCATTAATAGTAACAGTAAAGCTAAACTAAAGCTAAGCAAAAGCTAAGCTAAAGCTAAGCTAAAGCTAAGCTAAATCTAAGCTGAAGCTAAGCTTAAGCTAAGTTAAAGTTAAGCTAAGGCTAAGCTAACACTAAGCTAAAGCTGAACTAAAGCTAAGCTGAAGCTAAGCTAAAGCTAAGCTAAAGCTCAGCTAAAGCTAGGCTAAGGCTAAGCTGAAGCTAAGCTGAAGCTAAGCTAAAGCTAAGCTAAGGCTAAGCTAAAGCTAAGCTAAAGCTAAGCTGAAGCTAAGCTAAAGCTAAGCTAAAGCTAAGCTAAAGCTAAGCTGAAGCTAAGCTGAAGCTAAGGCTAAGCTAAAGCTAAGCTAACGCTAAGCTAACGCTAAACTAAAGCTAAGCTAAAGCTAAGCTACAGTTAAGCTGCAGCTAAGCTGGCGTTAAGCTAAAGCTAGGCTAAGGCTAAGCTAAAGCTAAGCTGAAGCCCATTTGGCCTCTGGCGATCTGGGCCTGCGACCCGATCGATCGGTCAGGGTCGATCGGCGCCTGCCGCCCGATCGATCCCGCCTCGCAGGCCGATCGCGAGGCCGGGCTCAGCGCGCCGCGGATCGGCGATTCGCCGCCGCCGCTGCCGCGCCCTGGCCCTTGGCGGCTGCTGCGCGCCTTCGGCGCGCCCAGGAGGGGCCCGACGCCCGAGCCCGCCTGGCACAGGCGGCAGAGGGAGCGCCGGGCGTCGGCGCGGGCCCTTCTGCGCGTCGTGAGGGCGGCCGACCTCCTCAGCAGCCACCACTCCGCGCAGCAGCACCAGTGCAACCAGCAGAACGAGCTGCAAGACTTCGAGACCAGCGAGATGGCGACCAACACGAAGTCTCACGGCCATCCAGTGGGGGCCAAGCCGTGGCCATGGAGGTCAAGCACACCAGCATCTGGATCCTCGTACCGCCGACACCATGGAGGGCATGGACAGCAGCAGCCACGGTACCAGCCCCAGCACAACCAGCACCACCACTCCTCCCACCACGACGAGGATCGACAGCAGCACAACGACGCCCAGCACCAGCAACAGTATAAGTACGACTACACGACACCGAGAACGAAGCGGCCCCCCTCAAGAAGACGCCACCAAGCCCCCGAAGATCCACCAACGACCACCGACAGTTGCCAAAGCTGACGAAACGACAGTTGGAGGTCACAGAAAAGGTAATGCCCGCCTTGCTTTCGGATGCCATGGACACGAAAGCTTTTCTCTTCCTCCCGACGAGCCAGACATACGTAGGGTTTGGCACGCCACTAAGGTGGCGCGGATGGCACGTCTCGCCGACCAAGTCCATGGAGCCAGGCAAGCCCAAGTCGACCCGACCCGCTTGATCGAGGAGCTAGCCATAGTCAAGACCATGATACACATGCTGGACACGCCGACGGCGAAGACGCCACCAAGCCCCCGAAGACTCCACCAACGACCACCGACAGTTGCCGAAGCTGACGAAACGACAGTTGGAGGTCACAGAAAAGGTAATGCCCGCCTTGCTTTCGGATGCCAAGGGACACGAAAGCTTTTCTCTTCCTCCCGACGAGCCAGACATACGTAGGGTTTGGCACGCCACTAAGGTGGCGCGGATGGCACGTCTCGCCGACCAAGTCCACGGAGCCAGGCAAGCCCAAGTCGACTCGACCCGCTTGATCGAGGAGCTAGCCATAGTCAAGACCATGATACACATGCTGGACACGCCGACGGCTCGCATTGCACAATACAGATCCCAAGTGGAGTCACGGATACAGAGACAGCAGACCGTCGAGAGCCAGCTCAAAGACCTCAATAAGGAGCACGACGAAATCAAGGGCGAGATTGCATCCCTCAAGGCACTCATCTACGAGGCCAAGCAGTATCGAGAACACGCCGAACTTTACGAAGACAGTTGTGACGGGGACGGTGAAGATGATGGGAGACAACGTGTCAGGGGCAAGACACCACACCCCGAGAGACGACAGCGGACACCAATTCGACAACCGGCGTACGAGCCAGCGCCTGCTTCGACCACCAACGACAACAGCGACCTGCGGAAACTCATTGACGTGCTGACGAGGAGAGTGGATGAGCAGCAGCGCAACCACGGAATACACCAACACCATCTGGCGTTTCTCCACCATGAACGAACCGAATCCGATCAACACGAAGCACAACGTCAACTGCAGACCGAGCAGATCCACGAGCTCTCGCAACATCTACAACATTGCCAGGAACAATTCCAGCAAGCACAACTCCAACAGAGACAGTCGTACTACGACGAGATCCAAGTCTTCCGACAGCGCGAAGAGCAGCTCCGACAAGAGGCTCGCGAATCCATCACGGAGAACGTCGCTCACTACCAGCAGAAGGAGGCCCACCTGCGCTACCAGCTCAAGGAGGAAGAGTCAGCGCACCTCGCCACCTTCATCATTCAGAGGAAGCAAGAGGAGGAGACCTTCAGACATCATCTACACGAGAACGCCGAGATCATGGTCCAACAATATCAACAACGCTGCCACGAACAACAGCAACGTCTTCTCTCCGAGAAAGCCCAGGCACAGCAGGACATCAGCAACATCGCGAGGCTTGAACAGAACCAGCTTCAGGACGCCAAGGAACTACTTTTGGAGGAGTTCGGACAGGTCCAGGCTCAGAAGTACCGAACCTTGACAGCCCAGAGCGAGTACAACAGCGAGATCGACAGGCTTCGAGGCACTTCCCGCGACATGCAGCGCTTCGAGAACGAACTCCAGGAGCAGCACCAACACCAACTACAGGAGCATCTTCAGCAACACAGACAGGAACGCGAGCGACTGCACTGCGAACTACAGCAGGCCCACGAGTTCGGCACCAGCCTCGACGTGGACATCCTCAGGGAGCTCGACACACAACTTCAAGAACGAGACGAGGAAGACGCACGACTGCAAGCCCAAGCAGATGCTGAACAAGCACAAATCGACAAACAGGTACAAGCCGCACTCCACCTGCTGACCCCACCGTCTTCCTCTGATGACTCGGGCTATCAACTATACCTCAGAAACCGCGGCAGCAGCAGCGGAGGACAGCCCAGCAACAGCGGACAGCGCAGCAGCACACCACCACCACGACCGACACCTGCGATGCCAACCGCCACTCCCACTGCGCGACGCCCATGCCACGACGCCGACGACGCCAGCGTGCACACCCCAATCCCAGCCGACGACGACGACATTTGCAGCCCAACCCCTGTTGCAAGTGACGCATATCCCTTCCCTGTCCCTACGCCATTACCCACCCCCGCCTCGCTCACGCCGATCCCCACCGAGCAGCATACGCCCATCAACTTCCACCCACCTGACCCGCCAAATGACCGACCCAGCTCAGCGCCACCACCACGCACCAGAAGAACAGACTCAACTCAGCACAACCACCCATCCACTACTCTCCTCATTGACATCACTTCCGACGACGACGTACCACCACCTTCCACCCCAGTGCGCATTCCACTAGCCGACATATCTCCTACCGCACCGATGCAGCCAATCCAACCACCACCTCGCTTCCACCTCGCCACGCCCGACCGCGCCACATCCGCTCCTCCGCCCCGCACAGCTCTCCGAAAAAACGGATCATCTAGACGAGCGGCCAAGCCCAAGAAAGTCCGTATCTGCGACATCGGAGACGGCTTCGCAGATCCAGGAGACCAAGTGCCAACCTTCCTCAACGACGAGGAAGCCCCTGCGGTCAACTCACCAAAAAACTAACGAGGCCCTCACCCCCTGGGGGGCAACTGGCCCAGGGGGAGCGGCCCAGCATCATACCAGAAGACTGCCTGTGCAACGACGGCATTTCCGACTCCTGCAGTGGTTACGCCGACGACGTCAGGCGCCGACTATTCGAGCCCCTGGTGAGCTCCGATCCACCATACGACACTTCACAAGTTTCACCTACCCTCTCATCAGCCAATGGCGGCATGCGCGTTGGGGAGAGCGCACCTCCAGATTCTTACGAGCATGGCGATATGTGGGAAATCCACACACCGCCCAACATGCGACAGCCTAGTAGTGGACCGTGGACCATCCCCTCGGCCTCTACCTCTCGCCCCCCCCCCCCCCCCCCCCCCCCCCCCCTCCCCCCCCCCCCCCCCCCCCCCCCCCCCCCTTCCCCCCCCCCCCCCCCTCCCCCCCCCCCCCCCCCCCCCCCCCCCCCCCCCCCCCCTCCCCTCCCCCCCCTCCCCCCCCCCCCCCCCCCCCCCCCCCCCCCTTCCCCCCCCCCCCCCCCCCCCTTGGGAGTGCGAGAAGGCTGTCTCACACAGATCCCACACGAGTACCACATACGCTAGCGGACCGACCAACTACCGTCACCCGACCTCGACGGCAGCATGTCGACTCACATCCTCCACCAGCGGAAGCCCAGTCACGGTCGCTCCCGACGATGACGACGCCACCGCCTACGCCTCGAGAGGAAGCATCGCTTTGTGAGTACGACACGGGGGGGGACACCCCCAGTGGTTGCAGCCGTTTGGGGCAAGAACGACAAGAGCCACCAACAAGGCATCGACGTACTAGCCATTTTGGCC